AGATTCGTGGATTTCTATAGAGAATTGGTTTTCTTCCAAAACTAGGATTACTTTGGTTTTCTATAAGTAGTTGGTTTTGTCCCAATACTTGGACAAGTCCTCCAGATCTTCTTTTTGAATTCTAAGGTTTATATCTGGGGATATTTTTGCTAGTTTTCTTTGATGTTTTAATTGAGTATTTAACTCGTGGTTTAAAGAGTGTACATCAAAGGATTATTTGTTTGTTCTACACAAAAGAGAGAGTTGTTCTTCGGTGGATTCTGAAGAATTCGAGCCTGAAGCTTTGGTGGATTCCGGAGTGGCTCATCGTCAAGACAATTCCAAGGTGAAGATGGGGTTAGAAGAGACACATAGAGGTTGGTTCAATTCAGGCATGGATTCGCTAGGTAATTGAGAGTATACCTGTGTATTTCCTTTATATCTTCTTAGTGGATTGTTTTGTGACTGTTGCCCGTGGTTTTTTTATCACAATTGGAGGTGTCCAATTGTGGTTTTTCCACGTTAAATCGTTGTGTCGATTTGTCTTGATTGTTTGATTGGGATTGTTGTTTACTACTTAAAATTGATACATAATCACAAATCAACATCTAGGAGATTTCTAGATTTTTCAATAGGTGCAATGGTGGCTTTTCAGTTTGAATTCAACATGTATGGTACCTATTTGGACAAGGTTCAACGTATACAAATCTGTTTAAATTTAAATTAAATAGGTAGGAACTTGTTGGGCTTGAACTGAACAGATTTGAATATGTTCGAACAGATATAGAACTTGTACAAAAAATTTGAAGAGGTGCAGGCCAAATTTGAATCTTTCTCCAACTGAAATTGGAAAACAAAACTAGATGGATTTTATTTTTCCAAAAAATAAATTCAAATGTTTTTGGTCCAAAAAGATAAGCATTAGGCTGAACAAGCCCAGCCAGGACAGACAAACGGCGGCGCGTGTATGTTTATTTTGGGTCCAATGGGTTTAACCCATAACCTCCCCCTCTACAAAACTTGAGTGCCCTTGGGGTCTACCACAACTTCCAAACCCAAGCATTATAAACCCACACCAAGGTTGCCTTCCAAAGTAATGTGGCACAAGCCTTATTTCAACCTCTATGGAAATTTCACCAAAACACACCATTTCCACAGTGCTCACTTTGGCTTTAATTTCTCATTCACCCAATAATAGTTTTGAGCAACCAAATATACTACGTGAATCACAATGCGGCATAGAATGTGTTACCACTTAGACCTGCCAACTTTGGCGTATGGGTCCCACCTAAAAATTAGACCGAAGTTGAGGAAAAATCTGTTTTTCCGAAACCATTCTTCTATACTTGTGTAATTCCTTTTTGTCTCATTAGTGGATTGTTTTGTGGTTTTGTCCGTGATTATTTTTTTTTTTTCCACAATTGGCTTCAATTGTAGTTTTTTCACGTTAAATCATTGTGTCAATTTGTCTTTGATTGTTTGATTAAGTTTGTTATTTACTATTCAAAATTGATACATAATCACAAATCAATATATCGAAATTTGTAGATTTTTCATCACGGATACCATGAAGATATTCTGCTTCCCCAAGTGAAGATTTAAGTTTATTCCCCCTTTGTTTGAGGGGTGGCCCCAATTTTGGCTAAAGGGCTATATAAAAAGAAGGGAATTCTACTTTACCAGTTACAGATTAAAGGAAAAAGAATGCATTCAGTAATTGTAATGGTAGCGTTGATATGATTTTCTGAATGGTAATGGTAGCGTTGATATGATTTTGGAGTGAAACGGACTAACAAATTTTTTGGTGGATTTGAAAAAATTATTGACATCTTTTATTTTAAAATCACATTTAGTAAGGTTTAAATTGATTTTCAATAGATTTTCTTAGTTTTTTTGACATGACCCAGTCTATGTATTAATTTTAACACTATATATATATATATATATGAAGGTTATTTAAAATTAAAAATTACAATCTCGTGAACATAAATTCATAATCAAAATGCCAACATACTGTTGGGATATTTTAATAAAAATAATAACTTTTAAATATTAAATTATTTGATCGCTGCAAAAGGTTTTATGTCATATATTATTATAATAATATGTCTATCATATTAGTGTGTTTTAATTCTAAAACGATTTTATTATTTGTGGAGGATTCATTCCATTGATTGAAAAATCTCTTATATAATCCTATGGCTTTCTAAAGGTTAAGATAGACGAGAAAGGTGATTTCAAATATGAGAGTTTTTAGATAGAGTTCTCTATATTGTTGTATATGTTATGTTGATATTTCGGACAATTCTAGTTTATGACATGATTTAAGTTTTCTAGTGGTCGTGAACACTAGATGAAGGACGTTGTGAGCAACATAAGATTTATATTAGAACTACTTTACTCTGGTTATATTTTTACGAGGGAGGAAAAACAGTTTTAAAATAATGACAACGCGACTCTCAAGTCTCTCTATTCTTGCTTTTATCGATATATATTATTACTTATTGTCAATATTATTATAATATTCATGCCTAAATATTCTATTAATTATATTTCTAGACTAACAATCTAAAACTACTTCAGTATGATTGTACCTTTACGAGAGAAGAAAAACAGTTTTAACACAGTAATAGCGCAACTCTTAAAATCTCACAGTGATAATTCTCTATTCTTACTTTTATCTATATATATTATTACTCAATGTCAATATTATTATAATATTCATGCCTAAATATTCTATTAATTATATTGTCAGACTAACACATACAAATATACAGAATGGCAACGTACAAATATAAAAGTACTTTACATGATATCCAAGCTTTATTTAAGAAATTAACCAAAAGCTAAATAGATTAATTTAAGCTAATAATCAAATGAGAACATACGAAAGTTTGTTGATCAAAAAATAATATCTACCCTTGATAGCAACTTACATCTTCTAAAGCTTAAAGATTAGACATTCAAAGCATTCCTAGAATTTCTACACAAGTTCTATGTGTCTTTTATATGATTTTAACAACTCAAAATAGAAAAGTGAAAAATGATCGTCAAAATTCATTGAAAACGTAAGGTGTGCGATCCTAGCGGTTGTAACGATATTGTAATAACACAAAAATCATTATGACGTTTACATAACAGTAGTGGACGTCACGGTCATAAATTTTTTCAATAACAACATGACATTGTAACTGTTGGTGGTAAAGAAAAAAATATGAATAAGGACAAAATTTATAATATAAAACAAAATAAAAAAACCAAAAATAAGTGCGCAACAGGATGATTTTTGGTGGCAATATATTTGGTACGACAATTTTTTTGAAATGAAAGTTAATAATTAGAAAGATAAATTATACCATTAATTTTTGTAATTTGAGTGGAGTGGCACTTTCATTCTTGTAATTTCAATTTGAATAATTTAATCTTTAAATTTTTAATTTTGTTGCAATTTGGTCATTCTGACAATTACCATTAAAACGAAAAAAAGACCGTGTACAAATCTAGAGTTTTGAATTTCCTTTTGATCCCTCTAGTTTTTATTCAAAAATGTTTATTGTGCATGACATAAGGACTTCATTACAACAAAATTAAAAGTATAACGACTTATTTATTCAAATTAAAACTACCAAAGTAAAATTTCTCTTAAATTAGAAGTGTTATTTACCCTAATTAGAAATCAACACTGAAGTCACTGGTCTTCCAATTTCCTTATGATCAAATTCTTAAGCATATGTAAAGTATTTTTATTTTATAAATAAAAATTGTACCAAATATTTTGATACAAAATTTTAAAATAATAAAAGCAATAAGCATATCAAATAACTTACACCAAAGATGCCAAATAATATTGGGAAAATTTCAATTATGTTGAAGTTTTTTAAAATGATTACAAATCAGTGATATATTTTATAAATTTTAATAATTAAAATCAGAAATTATTTTATGAATATGTAATTATTTTTGTGAAAAGTTCACTGAATTGTAATTTCTCCAATAATATTCCCAATCTTGTTATGATCCCACAAGAATTAGCATAGACCTTGGTCATGGGCATATAAAATCTTTTGGACACCTTCCATTTGCAAGTCAATTTTCCAGGGTGAGTTCTATTCAACAAATTTATATCATTTGGTACAAGAGTCAACTATCAGGTCTAGTATGAGATTGGATGCACCTATGCAAGTATTGAATTGTAAAGATGCAGCTTTGCGGTTCAAATTTTAGATGGGGCGACATATTAGTTGTATCAAGACGTTACTGAGGTACTAATATTGATAGGTGAGTGAAGTTGCCAAAACGAAAAGGGCTACCATTAGTTCATTTTTTGTATAATGGGCCTATTGTGGGCATTAGTTGTGAAGTGTGGTGATATGTTACGATCCCATATGATTACACAACAGTTATATTTTGACTATATGTATATAAGCTTCTTAAACAGTTGTTTATGTTGTGTTTGGTTGAGGGATTTAGAAAGAAATTTAGAAAAGAAAAGAAAAAATGTGTGTAAAACTAAATGAAATATAAGTATATTCTATTTACATTTTACATTTCTTTTCAAGTTTGAATTCTACCCCACGGGTGTATCAAATCCAAACTTTCTAACCTAAGGATTGTTGGCAACTTGGCAAAGGCCTGGGGATTAAGCCCATAGGTCCTAGGTTTTAAAACTTCCTTGGGCCAATCTCTTAGGCGTAACATAATTGGTTAGGAAGTTAGTGTCAAGCAGCTTCATTATACTTGGTGTGGGTTCAATGCTCTCCCGCTGTGCGAGTCCTGACTTAAGCAAAGTTTATCTTGAGAGGTCAGTGCAAGTTTCAGATTATAGTCTCCTAGCTCAGAACGGACAACAAGACACTTGGTGATCTCTGTAAAGGGTGCTGCCTTAGACCTGCGAGCAAGTGAGAGGATTTTCCTGTAAACCAAAAAAAAAAAAAAAATCCAAACTTTCTTTTGGAAGGAAAACACTACAAAAGGGTTCTCTCTCTCTCTTCTGCTGTTTAATTCCCTTTTAACTCCTTTTTTCTATAGTGAATCCCAAAGAAAATGATTATAGATTATGAATTTATGATACAGAGGAGGAAAACAGGGGACATTGGGCAGGAGAAGTCAGAGAGAAACAGGTCATATTGTCTTCTCCACTCTTCACAAAAGCCATTTACAGTCTCTCATTACAACTTATCATTTACCACCGAATAACAGTCCATAGCTGTTCAATTATGCAACCATACTATCCCATAACTGCATTGCACAAATACAAACCAAATGCTACATTCTCTTAGTGCAAATCCAAACCAAACCAACTCCACCATAATACTCTTCTTCACCTAAAAAATGCTGCACATAAGCTGCATTTTCTTGATCTCTCTTCTGAGCTCATTCTCTCCACTTGGGTTAGCAATGCTCAACCTAAATTTGCCTGGTCAGCACCCAAATCCTGAGGCTGTTGTCCAAGAACTCCAAAGGTAAGAAAAAGAACAACTGGGTCTTGAGGTTTTACCTGTTTTAGTTCTGTTTCTCAGTTCTCAGGTGCTCTGTTTCTTGATTCTAAATTGTAGAATACTCTCTATTCCTTTGTTGCATTTCAGTACTTGTTTGGTTTAGTTTTTGAAAAATGTGGTTCTATTTTTTTTTTTGTTAAAATTTTAATTTTATAGTGTTATATATATATATGTTATAGTTTATTTATTTATTTATTTTTAACTTTTAAATGTACCTAAGCTAGATTCATATACAAAATATTTTTCAACAAATTTAAAAAAAAAAAAATTTTAAATACAAAAAAAAAAAAATTCAGAAACTCTTTATTGATTTTTTTTATAATAATTTTTCACAAATATATTTTTACTTTTAGGTGCATCTACAAAGTTTTTTTTTTTAAAAAAAAAAAATCATATTTATGTCAATTTTTTAAAATCTTTTAAATGCACCTAATTAGATACATATGTGATTTTTTAAAAAATATATATATTAAAGAGAAAAATATATAGAAACTCTTTAGTGAACTTTTTTTTAGATTTTTTGCATTTGTTTTCTTTTTAAGTTTAGCTAAAATGTAAAAAATAAATTACAAAATTATGAAAAAAAATCATATTTTTGTCATTTTTCTAAGTTGTAAAATGTAAAGTATTTGTGAAGAAATCTAAAAAGAGTTCAATAAAAATTTATTAAAAACAAAAAAAAAAAGGATGGAAACTCATTTTTTTTAGATTTTTTCACAAATATTTTTATTTTTTATTTTTTAGGTGCGTTTAAAAAATAAAAGAACCAAAAAAATAAAATATAAAAAAGCTACTTAATTTAAAAAAATATGAAACATAAAAGACTCAAACAACTTTCGAGTTATAAACCAAAGAATCTCTATGGTTAGAAAAATGCTTTGAATTTAAATGATACGCATTTAATTTTGTATGTTGTCAATTATACTTAAAATAAATTTGATCTGCATATTTCAAAATTTGAGTACTTTCTAACACTTGTTTTCTTTTGGGATATGTCAAAGTGTTATTCTCCTAATGTCCAATTTCTTTATTTTTGGATATGTCCAATTGTTGTTCTTTTAACGTTTAAATTCCAATGTAGTTTTTTTGCATGTTCTAAATTTTCTGATTTCAGTGACAGTTCATTTTTTATTTTTCAAGTTTTTTTGGACAAAAATACTAGAGCCAAAAAGCATTTCGGAAAAACTTCAGAGAGAACACTCGCAAACATGTTTTTAGTTTCTTGTTTCTTGTTTCTTTTTTTTTCCTGTTTATATGGTTTCTCTACATTTCTTGTTTTCTTGGGACAAAATCCTATGTTATTCTCGTAGTTTTTTTTTTTTTAAAAAAAGTAAAATTATAAATACACTTATATTTGTTTAAAATACGAATTATCTCTTATAATTTTAGAAATTATATCTCGCTCTCTAAAATTTATAATTTCATAATAAATGATCCCATTTATTGATAAATTATTAAGTTAATTAACTATTTTTAATGATTTCATAAATTTATTTCAATTAATATTACAAAATCCTATGTTATTCTCGTAGTTTTTTTTTTTTAAAAAAAAGTAAAATTATAAATACACTTGATATTTGTTTAAAATACGAATTATCTCTTATAATTTTAGAAATTATATCTCGCTCTCTAAAATTTATAATTTCATAATAAATGATCCCATTTATTGATAAATTATTAAGTTAATTAACTATTTTTAATGATTTCATAAATTTATTTCAATTAATATTTCAGGTAATTTTATTATTGTTTGGAAAGCAGTTAAAAATTTTATTTTTTTAATTAATTATGTTAAATAAACAATTGTAATTTTCTAAACAATAAAAAACAATCTGTTTTTAAGAAAATTTTAAAAGGTTTATTTGTAATTTATCCTTTTTAGATGAATGTTATTCTCGAAGGCTGAAACAGCCTAGTTGCAACTACAGTTTGGCTCTTTCATATTTAGGGTTGGTTTAGAATGTTCTAAAAAAATATATTTTTTGACTTATTGGCTTATATGGGTTGGGTTTGGGTTGGGTTTAATGTGATGTGTTAGAGAGGTGATGTGATTTAAATAAGATAATGTGACTTAAATAGGATAGTGACTTTTTGACTTTTTGTATTATTTAGTTTATGCCAAATCAATCCTTAATTTGGTTAGTTTGTTCTTTTTTTATACTCATGGTGTTAGTTGAAAAAACAAGTAAATAAATAAAAATAAAAATTTACCTAAACACATAAGAATAACCTCTAAATCAAATCTTGGGAGAGCCAAAATTTCAAATATCACTTCTGATGCTATATAGTACGATCACTTAACTATTTAACGATAATTCAATAAATTCGAATATAAATAAAAATTAAAATCTACATTTCAAATATTAGTATAATTCACTTAGACTTATTCATCTTACCATTCAAATTCATGCTCCAAACACTACCAACAATCGTTTACATCTAAAAATGTTGTCATAAAATCTTATGCACTTGTACAACCTTGAATCGAGACTTGGATCAAACACCGAAAATCCTAACGACCCGGGTAACCTCACTTTCTTTACTCCTAGCGTTGTGGTGTCAAAATTTCTAGTCTAGCATCCAATCCAAGGCAATGATGCGTGTTTTTTCTCTTTTTGCCTTTTTCTTTTCTTGGACCCCCTGCCCATTATTTTGTTTCAATTAGATACATGCATGGGAGCTGCCCTATCCTACTTTATATAATTTTAATGGTAAATTACGATTCTGTATTTTAATTTTTATATTATTTTATTCTCACTAATTTTAATTGGTTTAATTTTAACTTTAAATTTATAATTTTATCTCAATTTTATCCAATTGATTATAATCCTTAGTTATTTTTTTTATTAAAAATATGCACATAAGTACCTTCTTTTATTTTAATTAATTGTTATTATTATTATTTTTGCAAGAGAAAAAGTAGCAATAGGCAACAAACAGAAAACATAAACAAACGGAAAGCAAAACACAAAGCACTAGGCTCTAACACTCGATGCCCCCAACAATATCTGCAATCAACAGATCTGTAATTTTGTTTGGGGCGGGGGTTCCTCAAGCATTACTAGCTCTTCAAGATTATTGATCCCTATATTAGCTAACCCATCTGTACTTTGGTTAGCCTCTCTCAAAATATACTTGACAGAACATTTTTACATTTTGTCCGTAAAAGAACTAGGGGCATGTTTGATTGGCTGAATTAGAGTATGAGATTGAGATTATTAATCCGTGGGTCCAATTATCCTATGTTTGTTTTAACATATTGGTCTAAGATTATTAATCCAATAGATAATTAATTCAACAAATTTGTAGGATTATTAGTAATGGGGTAAGGGTGGAATTATTAATCCAATAGATAATTAATCCAATTGAATAGTGATTACCACACTAATTTGATAGGATTATTAATACTTCACTATTAGTTTTGTGAATCAAACATGGCCTAAGTGTCTTCGAGAAAGGCTTTATAAGAGAACTGATTTGGTGTGTCCCCATTGATGAGAAGGACCATCTGCTCCAAATCAAACTTTGTGAATATCTCTCATGCCTTTCTCTAAAATGATAGTTAGCCCTCTATATATACTCCACAATTCAGCTTCAGCACTTGTTGCTTCCTTCAAATTCCCATGATAGTCTAGCAGCCATGTGCCTCATTCATCTCTGAAAAGCCCTTCATATCCTGTGGGTCCTGAATTTTCTATACAATGAATGCACCAATTACTGGATTTAATAATTCTATCACCAGTGAAGTGATTTACTAAGTGTCATGTGTCATATTTTTATGAATAAAATAATAAATTTACTCAACTTAGTAAATTAACACAACCAATTTAGTGATAATTTTTTTTTAAAAAAAACACTAATGATATTATCAATTGGATTAAATTGACTCAAAATTTAAAATTAATAATAAAAATTGAGTCAATTGAAAGTGAATGGACCAAAATGACAGAAAAGGTAAAATATATAGACCATAGGTATAATTTGCCCTAATTTTAAAAAAGTTCACATTGTATATATATACCTTATTATAAGGTATAATTAAAATATTTCTTACCACAAATTCATAATATTTATATTTACATCACATTATTCACAGCATAACCATTACATTTGTAATATAACTATAATAATTCCTAAATTTCACTTTAGATATACGCTATAAACTTTCTCATTCCACTACTGTAGCTTCATTTTTTGATGTTCAACCCGAATAACTACAATTAATTCTTACAATTTTACCATTTCTTTTTTTTTTTTTGAAAATATTCTAACCATAACAAAAATTACTAAAATATGTAATTAATTATTATTATGTCTATGTCATCTTTTCAATAACATTCGTTAACCAATTATCTCACATTTTTCACAAAAATGTTACTGTGGTTAAATAACGTTCACATCACAGTACATTTTCACTAATTTTTTTTATATTAAATTATTTTTTTGGCGCCATGTACCATTTTTCAGAAGAGTGAATGATTCACTATCAAGAAGACAAATGCGATCAACCACCACCACCACATCCACATGCCCAACGGGCAACCCAATCGATGACTGCTGGCGGTGTGATCCAAACTGGCAGAAACGCCAGCGCCTCGCCGATTGCGCCATTGGCTTCGGCCAATACGCCCTCGGCGGCAAAGGCGGCCGAATTTACATTGTCACGGATTCCACCGACCATGACGCCGTCAATCCCCTCCCCGGCACCCTCCGGTATGCTGTCATACAAGAGGAACCCCTTTGGATCGTCTTCTCCACCAACATGATCATCCACCTCTCCGAAGAACTCATCTTCAACTCCTACAAAACCCTCGATGGCCGTGGTGCCGACGTCCACGTCACTGGCGGTGGCTGCATCACCCTCCAGTACATCACCAATGTCATCATTCACAACATCCATGTCCACCATTGTTATCAGTCAGGTAATGTGTCAAACTAGTATTATAAATAAAATTAACAAATAATATAAAATAAACAAAAAAAATAAATTAGAGGTGAGAACAATAGCTTGTGTTCTAAAATTACTTATAATCCAATTCATGATTTGGACTGGACCAGCAAGACTTCATCAAATAAATGAACGATAACTCGAACCGTTCATTTTGTAAAATTTTTCAATGCACACACAAAAGTTTGTCAATTTAATAATTATGACTTATTTAAATTATCGCATTTATGATAAAAAAAAAGAAAAGTGATGTCTATTTTTAAAAAGAAAATACTATGAATCTCAAATAAATTATTAAATTTTTTATCAAACCTCTCACGTGGATACGAGACATACACAAATCACACACCCATGTGCAAGATTTGATAAAAAATTTAATAATTTATTTGAGATTTCTATCATAACTCTTTCTAAAAACATATTTGTCATTATTTAATTGACTTAATTGGTTTTAGATGATATATCTAAAAAGTTCAACAAAATAAATAGTTTATATTATTGAAATCCTACCAGACAACACCTTCCCATCTAAACAGATCATGATCTAGTGGAAAATCAACTCCTAAACATGATGGGTAAATTAAACTTTACCTCTTTTATGTTGGATGAGTTTTTCACTTTTTTCCTTATAAATTTATTTTTCACTTTAGCTTTTTATAGTTTTAATTTTTTTCAATTTATTCTAAAAATTAATTTATATTCAAAATTATATTGAAAATGATACATTGACAATCACATAATATAAAATATTTTTATTATATATAACTCACGCATACAAACTTAAATTCTATTATAATAATATATTTTTTTATAAAATATGATAATTGATATGGTATTTTTTGCCTAATTTTGAACAAAATTTCATTAAATAAGCAAATTGAAAAAACTTGAAACTTGAAAGATCAAAAGAAAAAAAAATAATAATTTAAGGATTCAAGTAAAAAGTGTAATTTATCCAAACAAAATAGTGATTTATTTATGTAATGGCTGAAGAATTAAATAACACATTTTATTTTTATTAAAACAGGCAACACTAACGTGCGGTCGAGCCCAACGCACTACGGTTATAGAACCGAATCAGACGGCGACGGAATATCCATATTCGGAGCAAGAGACATCTGGGTAGATCACTGCTCGCTCTCAAACTGCAAGGACGGTCTGATCGACGCAGTGATGGGATCGACAGGGATAACGATATCGAACAATTATTTCTCGCATCATAACGAGGTGATGTTGTTGGGACACAGCGACGATTACTTGCCGGATTCGGGAATGCAGGTGACGATAGCGTTCAATCATTTTGGAGAGAAGTTGGTGCAGAGGATGCCGAGGTGTAGGAGAGGATTTATACATGTTGTGAATAATGATTTTACTCAATGGGAGATGTATGCCATTGGTGGGAGTGGAAGTCCTACTATTAATAGCCAAGGGAATCGTTACATTGCTCCTTTTAATTCTAATGCTAAAGAGGTACGTAATACTAAGCACATGTTGTAAAATTGTTTAGTTTTCCTAACATTTTTCATTACTATAAAGAGAAATTATAATTGAGGATACAAGTCATGACATATAATACATATTACACATGAATGTGAGGTAACGAGTGAGCTGCCTATTAACTTATTTTTAGTCATGTCATATTTTTATTTTTTTATATGTTTTTTCGTAATGAGTTAAAAAGTTAAAAAATAAGTCATACCTAACCTCACTCTAAGGGATTGTAGTTTATGTGGTTAGCCTTTTGGTTACTAAGTCTATCTTAAGCGAAGATAAGTCTCAAGTCTTTATAAAGATAAGGCATAAGGTTATTTTTTATTAATATAACAACTAATCACTATTTTTTGCTAATAAAAAAAAAATCATTATGAGAAACATACATAGTGACACAAAAAATATGATAAAGGTAGTAACATATAACAATTTTTTTTAAAGAAAGAAAATGTCACCAGTTAGTTAATTTTATGTGATTTTTTTCATAGTGCTTTATTTCAAATTTAAAATTATATTTGTAAATGGTTTCCTTTTATATTAGGTTTGGGTTGATATATTGCTACTTACCCTCCAAATAAAAAATAAAAATGGGTTGTTTAAGGTGGGCATTGTTGCATGGGATGGTCAATTGGAATGGTCTATTGGGAGGGTGAAGGGTGCTATAATGAATGTAACAACTCATCTAACATGGCTTTTTTGGTGGTTGGCGTATATGTTTGTGTGTGGTTAGGTAACAAAGAGAGTGGGGACAGAGCAAGAAGAATGGAGAGATTGGAATTGGAGGAGTGAGGGGGACATTATGGTAAATGGAGCATTCTTTGTGGCATCTGGTGCTGGTGTTGAGATCAAGTATGAGAAGGCTTACAGCGTGGAGCCCAAATCTGCTTCCTTCATTGACCAGCTCACCTTGAATGCCGGTGTCCTTGGTTCCAGGTCCATTCTCTCTCTCTCTCTCTCTCTCTCTTTTTCATTTTCTTTTTCTTTTTCCTTTAACGAAGCCAATATTATGTTGGGCTGGCCCAAATTGAGCCAGTGGGCCTAAAGGTTACCCTTGGGTTCTTCGAAGTTTAAACCAGTCTCTCTGTTATCTAAAAATGAAGCATAATAATAATAATAATAATAATAATAGGAATTTTTATTGATAAATCTCATTTAGAAGTGTTTTAACCCAAGAAGTCTATGAAGGAATTTTTTAACCCATTTAGTCCCATGTATGTATAGTTTTATTCCATAAAGTCATTTTTCTTGATTTACACTATTTTCTTAGACACTTATGCCCTTATATTTAATTTTGATACCCTTATAAATATTTTTTGAACGGTTAGCAATTTTATGATGTAAACATGCATATTTTTAAATTCACATTGGTACGAATGTAAAATTGGCCCGTGGGCGGCCCGAAACCCGCCCGCGAGCCGGGACGGGCCCAAGCCGTTGACAATGTGAATATTCACATTGACATGTTAACATTCACATTAATAGGAGTGTAAAATTGGTCCGCGTCCTGTGGCGGCGTGAAACCCGCCCGCGGCCCATGGGCGACTCGAGGCGGGCCCGGTCCGGCCCGTTGACAATATGAATATTCACATTGATATGTTAACATTCACATTGATAAGAGTATAAAATTGGCTCGCGGCCCATGGGCTGCCAAAAGCTTGCTTGTTGCCCGGGGCAAGCCCGGCCCGGCCCGGCCCGTTGACAATGTGAATATTCACACTAACATATTAACATTCACATTGATAGGAGTGTAAAATTAGCCTGCACCTCGTGGCTGCCCGAAACCCGCCCACGGCCCATGGGCGGCTTGTTGACAATGTGAATATTTACATTGACATGTTAACATTCACATTGATAAGAGTATAAAATTGGCCAGCGGCCCAGGGCGGGCCCGACCCGGCCCGTTGACAATGTGAATATTCACATTGACATGTTAACATTCACATTGATAAGAGTGTAAAATTAGCCTGCAGCCCGTGGGCGGCCCGAAGCCCAATCGCAGCCCGAGGCGTGCTTGGCCCAACCCATGACAATGTGAATATTTACATTAACATGTTAACATTAACATTAATAGGAGTGTAAAATTTGCCCGCTGCCCGAAGCTTGCTCGCGGTTAGAATGTGTTATGAATGTTTCCTATTTCATCCTTATTTATATTTAGTATCTTTATTTATGCCTTACGAGGGCTCCTGTAATTTTGCTAATGATGTAATATAAAAAAGGATGAGATAGGACTCATACCTCTAACTCTTTCTCTTCTCTAAAACTACAGTGTCCGACACCATATCGGACACTGACATTACATGACACTCGTCAGACACTTCATAACATACAAATACACATGAAACACATTACAAATTTTAATAAAACAATATGTAAACAAATGATAAAACAAAACAATGTAATTTATATCTATTCTCCTCCTTTAGACTTTAAAAATTATTATCTTTAACATATAATAATTATTTCTCTTTGTATATGACATATAATAAATATATAAAATTATATACTCCATCCGTCCCATTTTTTTTGTCCACCTTTCCATTTTGATCTGTACCAAAATATTTGTCCACTTTCTACTCTGGATATTGAAATCTTTTAGATTTCCAAAATTACCCATTATACACAAATACAAACACATTTCAAAATTTAAAATCAAAGAACACATGAAAAATTAATTATATAGAGAACACAAAGTACAACTAGAAAGCATGGACGTAGATCAACGTATATAAGAAGCTTGAGTTTTCCCTTGCTAGAAAGCGGATACATGAGGAAAATGTAAACGCTTCTGCTGAAATAAATTGCCAACGTCAAAAAATAGTTACCCCCAAAAAGATTGTAGATTTATCTGCCAGTTTCCAGAAGGCATAGAAAATTTAAAATTATTCATATTCTGCTCAAGTATGTGACATGCTAGAAAATGGTTGTGTATGCCTGATAAGTGGGTCCTAATACATTATCCTTAGAAGCTAGGAAGCTGTTGCATTTCTCAAGATTCTCTTATACAATAGTTATATTCCCCCAAGTATTAAGAATTTAGAAGTATGTCCATATTCTTGGTAAAATTATTGGGTTTTCTTTTTAGGTCTTGGAATTATGGGGTGCTTTTAAGTTTATAGTGGAAGTTGAAATTTAAATTAGACTTGCATGTATGCATACAGCTAAGTTTCAATATAGAATTATTAGTTCACAAATCAAAGGGTACTTATCACCAAAAAAAAATTAGACTCTTACCAGGTGCTGCTACCATGACAGAAGGATCCAAGTGTGCAGAAAAAGCAGCACAAATCAAATCCTTCTCCTTTACTCTAGATAGAGAACTAAGGTTACGGGAGGACACAAACTTGTCTGCCAATCCAGGAGGGATTACAAGCACCACCCTCTTATCTTCTTCATCTTCCAACCCCTACATGCAATTATTCAGAAAAGTATTTCATAAAGAAAATCCAAACAAGAATTACATATGTATTTATTGCCCCAAAATATGATTTCCACCAATGATTTTAGCTAAGATTGCATACCCTTGTGCTAAAGTAATGAAATTGTTTGACATTTAAGAAGGGAAAACCAGTCAAATGAACTTTTGTTATAATGCAAACAGCAGAATAACCAGTGCAGATGAGGCCAGAAAAGCAGGTTGGGGCTGACATAGCAGCTACCACCAATGTTTTACTTATCTTTTATTAATTGGGTTAAAAGAATCAGATGACTTGGTATTTACAATATCCGCTCAAATTATTCAAATTGGTCCCTCCCAAATAGCCATCTTTTGGCCTTGAATTCTCTCCTTAAAGATTTCAAAGTATAACCACTTGATGACAAGCATCAATCACCTGTTGCTGAGCATATCTATAGTTATTCCATTTACAATAAATTGAAACATCACATTCATATAGTTTCTTTTTCCAGACCTTGTTTGACCATCATATCATGAGTAACTCAAATTGAAACAAGTGAACAGCTGGCAAACAAAGAGATTGTTCCAAAGTGGTAGAATCACCAATAGGATATCTTGTGCATGGAAATTGACTTCTTTAGATGCACACCATAAATCCAGGAGAAACATCTTTTCAGTATTTTTGGGCTTCTATAAGGTGGCTTGGTTTTATACTGGGAGATTGCATCCTTTCATGCGCCCCCTCCCCTGTTCTTTACTAAATATCCTTCGGGGTTGATTGGGTTTGGGTGCTTACCCCTGAAATACGGTTTCATTCTTTTTGGGTTATTTCTGGTCTTCTCTCCTGTCTAGACCTTTTATGACTAGATTGAGGGTTTCCAATTCCTAGTTATTGGGCCTGTTTTCTTGCTTTGACAGTAATTTGGTTCTTGGAGATCTGAGGCAACCTTGAGCTTTATGAGGTCTCTTCTACCTAGAGCGACGATGTTTAGTTTTTAAGTCCAATAACTAAACAGTGGATGTTTGTGACATGAATTTCAAAATGAATTGAAACTTTCACGTTTCCAAATTTTTGTCTACAAATTTCTGGAACAACCAGTGAAACCTATTTCTCTTTCCATCTTTTGAAGAAAAAAAAATCATATAAGTTATCGTGCGTGTTTCCCTGTTATAGGAATGTTGAAGTGGTTGTTAAGAGGCCAACCTACACTTGTGTTTTTCCCTGTGCTTACCCAAGGGGCTCTAGAGCCAAGGCTCTCAGCTGTCCCAAGGATAGTTCGTGCCACAGAGAAGATAACTCTTTTCCAGAAAGCTGAAAACCTTAAAAAGATCGCTAAGGATAATATAAAGGCTTCCAAGGAATATTCAGCAATAACGACTACAGTCCGAACTAATAATTTCCTTGTCTGGACTATGGAGGCAGACCAGGATGCAAACCATGACCCTAGCTGTAGCTGAAATCACCCAAGTGTAAGTTTGCCTCTTAACAACCACTTCTGCATTCCTATAACAAGAAAACACATCAAAGAACTAAAATGAAAGTTCTATTTTCATTTTTTTCTTCAAAAGATGGGAGGAGAAACAGGTCCCACTGGACATGCCAGAAATTTGAACACATTTGAAAATGTGAAAATTTCAACACATTTCAAAGTTTATGTCACAAACACCCAGTGCTGAGCTTTTGGACTAAACAATGTTTGATTATTTAATCGTAGATTCCAATTTCTGATCTGGATTCCAAATCGTTAAAAACTCTCTAGCACAGAGTGAAATCTCCAATTAATGAAGTACAAAAAAAATGACAAGAGAATTCAAACAAAAGAATTATTTTATTAAAATTTTGGGGATTTAAAGTCCCTAAAAATACAGAGTCTAAGAAAAATACAATGAATGGGTTTGGAACCATTTACCTATAACTCACCATCGCACTGTGCGTTGAGTGTTAAGTGTTGTTGCTCTTCATGATTCTTTGGGTTCTAAATATTTCTATACTCCCAATCTTATAGCTTTCAAATTTTATCAATTCTAGTCTCTAGTCCCTCTTCGGCAAGGTTTCAAAAAGCAGTGTTATGTAACGGTTGCAGTGGCAGGAGCTACCCATTACACTAGCTTTTGCGGTGTGACGAAAATTCGCATGTGTAACGGCTGTTTCGGTGTTACGTAACAACCGTAGTGGTACTGTAACGGCCCGTTACACACTTTTACAATATTCTGAATAACTTCCTTTCCAAAAAAATAAACCACAACTTCACAAAAAAAAAAAGGAATGAATACTCAAGTGATCCAAGCCAAAAAAAAAAATCTTGTATGAATTTTTTTTTCTTTATAATTTTTTTAAAAATTTTTTCATTTCATGGCATTAGCATGTAAAATAAAAATATATATAAATAATGGTTGTATTGATTTTTATAATTATTTCATTTAACATTTAATTGTAAATATTTTTTATTTTGTTTCTATAATGTGTTGCCTAAAAAATGTCCTTTAAAAAAATAAATAAAATTAGTAGCTCAAAAATAATTTTTGTTTATGGCACAATTTTAATTTTCATTTTTATAATCATTTCATTTAATACTTAATTGTAAATAATTTTATTTAGTTAGTTATAAAGTGTTGTCTAAAAAATGTCTACTAAAATAAATAAAAAAAAATCAATAGCTCAAAAATATTTTTTGTATGGCACAATTTTTATTTTTATAATCATTTCATTTAATAATTGTAAATATTTTTTATTTAGTTAGTTCAGGTATTAGTAAAAAATAATTTTGTAGACATTTAAAATCAATTATTTTTAAAGTCATTAGCTATTGAAATAAAATGTAAAAAGCTCATTTTATAGTGATTTAAAAATATGAAACATATTAGATCCTACTTAAAAACTAACAAAAATTGATCAAAATCTATTTTAAACCCCAATAAATGTGATTTTGGAGAAAAAAAAAAAATTGCATATTAATAAGTTCTTTCAAATTGTGAGAAAAATTAAAAAATTCACGGTTCATCGTAACCATTACGCTATGGCCTTTACATCCCATAACTGCAATCGTGCCACCACAACCATTACGGTGACCGCAAATGCTTTTCGAAACCTTGGTCACACTTGATTGAATGCATCGTCCTCTAAATTTTGTAGACTCCACATGTTACTTGACTTGTATAGGTTTAAATAACATTGTTTAAATGTGACGTTATTGTATCCCATCATATGTCTTAACTGATCATATTGATCTTTTTATAGTTGGTTTCCTCTAGCTTTTCCATTGTAGGTTCTGCATGCACCATCACTTGATTGACCGAGTCATCTTCTAAACTTTGTATACTCCACGTGTCACCGCCCCCACTCCTGCTCCTGCCCCTACCCCTACCCCCACTTTGTGCAACTAAGATCTTTATCATTTGAAAAAACACAAAAAGGAGATAGAAACAAGTAATTGTTGATAATAACTATAAAATAAAAACCTAGTACATATGTGTACATTATCTAGAATATAAAACCCTCCTGCCCACCCGTTCCAACACACATACCCCAACCCAAAATAAAACAAAAAAGAAAGAAAGAATAAGGACAGAGTAAAAACTGAAAGAATCACATACTTGGTTATTTGAACAATATCCTTCAATAGAAACAACCTTGGCGCCAACCATTTCCAATAATGACCATAGCTTATTCTTAAAATTGTACTGCAAGATTACAAAAGCCATTAAGAACCAAAGAAAACTGAGAATTCTCCACTATTAAATCATAGTACAGTTTGAAGGCAACCAAAGCTTTTACGACATTGGAGAAAGTAAAACACACGGCTTATGGTACAATGTTTCAATTGAAAATTAAAATGTTCTGTAATACTTGAAGGAAAACGAAAAAAATTAAGAGTCATGGGTGATGACTAAAGCTCAAAATTTCTCAAGTGACTGACCTTGTGTATTGGTTCCAATAGAAAAGTGAATCCTCTCAAACAGTTTTCTCGAGATTTGGGGTCAGCAACTTTGACTGATACTCCTTCCAGCATCAAGGTAGGAGCAAAACTGAAGGGGAGAGGAAAAAAAGAACAGAAGGTGTGCCTTATTTTATCACTTATCAAAGCAAGGTTCAATTATTTTGTACAACACAAAAAAAAGTCCTACAAAAGTTGAGGATAAAACAACGCTTACAAACTGCAGCACGGAATTTCTGTGCATATATTCTTTTCTGCAACAACCTATATGATTTTGGTCATGAATTAATGATAAAACAAAATCAAACTATGAGCATACAAAATTGGTTCTATATGACACTGTATGTGAAGATCAAACAATGTAATTAAAATAGTCTTTTAATGAAAGCATAGACTTCGAAGTTTTCTTTGAAGTACTAACAGTTGGCATTTACATCAGCTAGATGATAAAAGAACATCAAAGAAGATGGGAAAATATGAAGACTACATGTACAAGCAAGATCCCCAAGTACAAGAGCTGATACAATTACGAGTAAAGAACCCACCCAAGACCATTCCTATTAGTTTAAGACCCATTCCATTAATAGTTCAACATAATTTCCTTTAACAAAATCAAATCACATAATGGTTATATATTTGGGAGCTAAAGATATCAAACATGCCTTGTCATCATCCCAAAATAGTAAAACCATGTCACTAACAGCAAAGTTTAGGCTATAAATCTCTTCTTACTAATCCAATCCACTTCTCTCAACCTTCATGTAAAATCCAATAGATGGGCAAGAATTTCCAACATGACATAGACCGAAGTTAGTGCATTCAGATTGGCCATTTTTAAACAAGAACCCGATTATGGCACAACATGATAACACAGAAAACAGACAGGTTTGGTTAGTGCTGAACCCGCATAACACAAAGTTGACATGGTCTACATGGACTACCCGTTTAATGAAAGACTAGTTACACATTTCAATGTTATTTTCACTAACGGGTGCCATAACATGTTTAAATCCCTATGTAACCCTATCCAGTTGAATAAAAAAAAAAAAATGTAAAATACGATTTTGATGTCAATAGAGTCTTTTTATTTCCTATTGAGATAATATGATGTTTTCATTTAGTAATTTGGAGTCAAGTTAATAAACAAAATTAATAAATGAAAAATAGAGTTTGGTTTCTAAAATTGGAGAAATGGAGTAGAGTTTATGAATAATTTCAACAAGTAGATTTTAATTTCATGAAATTTAACTTGTGGGGAAAAACACTTTAATGTTTCCATACACTTGGCATTATTAATAAGGGTGAAATGTTTTTGACATGACACGTTAATATGGCATGAATTGGACACGAACCCAAAATAACATGACACAATAACACAAAAGAAATAACTAGAGTTAGGGTTGAGGAGATTCTAACACGAATCTGGGATGGCATGACACGATTCCCACCCTTACATGAATCCATGTCACAGTCATCATTGTCCACTTGCTGTTACACCCTTGGCATCACTAACTGAATGGCGTTTTTTTGTCTATTAATATGATCTACGGATATATCATTCCTTAAACAAAAGAGCCAAAAATACCTCCCAGAACCTTAGTTTAACTCCATGATCTTCATCTAAAACTAAGAAAATAAAGTGAGAAAATAAAAAATCTAAACGAAGTTGAAAGCAACAAAATTTTAAAACCAAATTACAATAAGGCTAAGGATGAATGCTTTCATGCAAAGGTGAAAGAGGAGACTATATCATTCAGGTTAATTGTCAAAACAGCTAAAAACAGTCTGTCAAAATCAAACACGATTCTCCTATGGATCACTGGAGCAGTAAAGCTTTAAAGAAATTCAGGGATTGTCATATTCAGTGGTACTTATGGACAAGCATTCACTGAGACTAAAGCAGCAATGAACTTCATTCCGATTTTGTTTGTAAGAACCCTTGCATGGTCAAAATTAATGCACGCTATTAGTTCTAGAAGCACCAAAAAATACTTTGGCAATAACATTCTAAAAGCAAGCATGCATCAGACTGGGTGTAATCAGCTAAGAATGGAGAAGAATACTATGAAGGGTGCTTAAATTCTTGTCAACAGAAAGAAAGTGGGATCTGTACATTTTCCTGATACATTATAACGACAAAGTTTGCTTACATTACCTTTACTTTGAGAAGGAAATAAGTAAAAATACCTCAAATTCAATTTTTATACTTTTCCATCACGCTAGGAAATTTTAATTCAAACGCATAACTAGCTTGCAAGGTTCTTTCAAATTATTTATTCTGCTGTACTCCCAAAGTACTAAGCTAGTGTTCGGTTCGCTAGAATGATTTTGGGCAGGAATGAATGGCTATTCTTTGCCTTCCCAGTGGAATGGCCATGCTCTAGATTCGTGAATGGTAATTCTACTTGCAATATATATATCTTTCCTTTTTACTGAACCAAACATAGGAATGGTATTCTGACGGAATGACCATTCCATTCCATTCCAGCATTCATTCCAATGAACCGAATATTGCCTAACAGTTTATCTCTTTCATTCTTTTAGTACATGCAACAATTGACAATTAGCATTCCATTCCAACCTTCATTCCAGTGAACCAAATATTGCCTGACAGTTTATCTCTTTCATTCTTTCAATACATACAACAATTGACAATAAAGCATCTCTATTAAAAGAATAATTAAAAAATTAACTTCATGTGTAGGCTGAAAATATTAAATCAAACACTAAAAAAAGAACACATAGAATTCGCCAAGTCTTTACATTAGTTGACCAGCATTGCAGCTAAATTACATTAAATGGTTTGGCTGCAATGAATCAGATATGATTGCAATCAACAGTTTATTTCTGTTCAACTTTGTTATTATCTTTGTTCATCAGGGAACTTGTTACCTTTCCAGTTCATGTAAATATATACTCAGATCATACACTCTATACAATTAGAATATAGTTATACTACTCTCTACATGTTAGACACTTCTCCCTATTAATGTATGACATACGACTATTTTCATGAGTATTATTCTTTTTATTAAGAGAATCATTTTGAGTTATTGTCATCATTTTTTAAAGTTCTTCGACATACACAAAAACTCTTTAAAAGATAAATCTCTGTCCCAAACCAAACCAAACCAAGCCTTAAGTCCCATCAAATGGGGTCGACTACATGAATCCTTCTTCTCCATGCGGCTCTATCAAAGGTCATTTCGTTAGTCAAATTAAGTATATCCATATCTCTATTTACAACGCTAGCCAACGTTAATCTAGGCCTACCTGGTCCCCTAACACTTCCATCTACCGTCACTGCATCGTATCTCTTCACTGCTGCCTCTGTTGGTCTCCGTTGAATATGACCAAATCATCTCAATCTATTCTCTCTCAATTTATTTTCTATCGGTGCTACTCCTACCCATTCCCGAATACACTCATACCTAATTCTATTTTGTCTAGTCTTGCCACACATCCACCTTAGCATCCTCATTTCAACCACACTTATCTTATCTACATGTTGTTTCTTAGTTGCCCAACACTCCGTCCCATACAACATCGCTGATCTAATAGCCGTTCTATAGAACTTATCTTTTAGTCTAGTGGGTATTCGTTTATCGCACAGTACCCCAGATGCACTTCTCCACTTACACCATCCCGCCTTAATCCTTTGAGCCACATCCGCATTAATCTCCCCTGTTGTTGTGATAATCGACCCTAAATAACGAAAATGTTCACTCTTTGGCAGTTCTTGATTCTCAATCATCACTTTTACTCTACTTTCATTATTATTGTTACTAAATTTACACTCCATGTACTTTGTCTTAATTCTACTTATCCGGAATCCTTTAGATTCAAGTGCTTCTCTCCAAATCTCCAACTTTATATTAACTACTTCTCTAGTCTCATCCATTAGCACGATATCATCTGCAAACAGCATACACCATGGCACGTCATCCTGAATATTTCTCGTCAATTCATCTATAAATAAAACAAAAAGATAAGGATTCAAAGTAGATCTTTAGTGTAACCCTACAGTGATAGAAAATTCATTTGTCTCTCCAGCCAGCGATTTAATAGTGGTCACCATCCCTTCATAAATGTCCCTAATCACATCAATGTAACTTTTGTCACCCCTTTCTTCTCTAACACCCACCATATTATATCCCGAGGCACTCTATCATATGCTTTTTCAAGGTTGATAAACAAAGATAAGTCTTTGTGCAAAATAGAAAACTCAAAAATAAGACTTATGACCATATCCCCTCACTAAAATACTTTGTAATTGTATTCAGAAGATCAGCCAAAAAATAAATAAATAAATAAATAAAATATCAAACATAAATGCACAAGAGGCAGCAAGTTACGATTCATGGGGTTCTGCAGTATGAGACTTCCAACTGTCTAGGGGCCACAATCCCAATATATGTGTGAACAATATAGGGTCAGAAAAGTTTATTGCCTTCTCTCTCTTAACTTCAAACAATATGTTTTAATTTGTATACTTAACGAAGTAATATATAAGAAATACTCAAAGAATATAACCTTACAGTACCACTAGGAGCGAGCAAGTAACACATACTTAGGACCTTCAGCCCTTGAGTAATTTTAAAATATCCTATTGGATAATGTTTATACATTCTAAAGCCCAATAATAGACTGAATACAAATCTATTACCACAGTAGCCATATTAAACAAAACCCTGCATCTGGCCTAGACATGGCTTTCAGTTTGATTCCAACATTATATTTGCTTTTACATTGTTATTCTTTAGTTTCAGTTCATATTTACATTTTAAAATATATACAGACCAAATAGAATTATTTTTCACAACCCTAGTCTGAAACATGCAACTCAAAAAATACAAAAACCTCTATAAAAGTTAATATATTTCGCATCATTGTGTCAATAAAATAAACAGAAAGATGAGGTCACTATAGAAATGAATACTACCAAATACCCATTAGCCATAATTTACCACTGAAACCTTTTATTTAACAAATAAGTGGTCAAATGCAGTAACTTCATCACAAATAACAAATAAAGCAGTTCACAGAGGGCGATTGTTCCAAGGAAGCAATTGGATCACACATTAGAAGTGATACACAATGAATGTAAATATACCTCAATCCATTCTTTAAGAACGAAGTGTTTCTTGGCCACAAAAGGATCAATCACATCTTCTGTCAATGGCATGAACTGATAAACAAGCACATGTGTGCAGTCTGGACTCCAATTACAAGTCATACAAGCACCTGAACCAATTAAATAATCTCATCAAAAGTATACATATATTTTTAGCAGACCAGGTAGACTCCTTAGGTGTGGTTAACTTTTTATATGATAATGTTGGATTGCAGCAAAAAGAAATAAAGTAGTAAATAATGGATATTAGTGAAAAGTACTTGACGAGTTAAATGAAAATAAGGCCTTCCACCACATTCTTTTTCTATTTGCTCTTCTTCATTTTATGTCCAGAGTTCTGTTTTCAGAATTTTACGATTCACCATTTTTGCAAAATCGACACAAATCTATGGGTGAATCTCTAGTGAATCATACGATTCACGATTTGATTCAACCCAGTCCTTAAAAACCTAATTTCAAACCAAACCCCATCCCTTATCAAACCCTAACCTCACTTCAACCCACCATCCTAATGCTGGATTTTTTTTACAGAAACTCCGATATGTATTTTCACCTTTGGTATAGTCCATAATAGCCCTAAACCTCAATCAAACAACATTTGATTTCCATAAACCTTAATCCATTTTTGCAACTAAAACTCCTAAAAAATAAAAACATAAAATACAAATCCCGTTCCTCCTATATTCACTTGCATGGAACCACATTCCATCCTTTTAAAAGTTTTCTACATCAATGAAGTCATAGTGAAATCACATTTCAGATTGATACCCACCAAGAAACAATGTCTTTAAATAAAATTTGAGAGAGAGAAGATATGAATGGTGATGATGGATGGATGAAAAGACACAAAAATAAGATAATATGTGAGCACAATGAAGAACAAATATAAACAAGTTAATCTCCCATAAAATTCCACAAATTTATTCCACAAGTAAATCAAATAGATAAAACTTTTAAGTCCTTGTATCAGTTAAACTATTTGCCTTTGCATGTCATAATATCCATAAAATCACTCCAATACTTTACTTTCAAACTTCCACTCTCATTATTTAAAATGCAATGTGAAATTGAAGTTCAAAACCTTGGAATTATAGCCAAAAAGACCATGTAGAATAGTTCATCAATAAAAAAGACTCTGATAGAATTAGTAAATGATGTTCCAAATAATAATTGAATATTTGAGAAATATGATTCATCTGCTCAACCGAAAATATAGACACTAAAAAATCAATAGTTATTATAAATAGTTAGAAAACTAAAAATCACTAGGTCTCCTTGTTTTACAAGTGTTTGGAACGACTACTAGAGTTCAACATTAAAATGGAAAATTAATAAGAATGCAAAAAGTAAAGGGACACAAACAAAATAGTTTGTTGTTTTCATTTTCAGAATTTTCTGTCAAAACCATGCAATGTAAAGCATACCTCAAAAAGAAGCAAATGTAAACAATATGCATCACAATAATAACAATGTTATGTACAATTAGAAGGAAATGGAAAGGTAACACATTCAGTAGGGTAGTTCCAAGAAAATTACCAACCTATTGATAGTATCTTCTCTTCAAGCAGTTGATTCACTTTAAAAGGTTCGGAGGAGTAAACAAGAAACATAAGTGGAACAAAACAAAACCTGCCAGACATTAGTTAGAATAAACAAGCAGAACATGATAATTACTTATACAAGGTAAGATTAGTCTACAGGCTCTACACCAACATTTGAAAAGGCTAAAATCTAAACAACACAAACCAACTGGGACTAGCTCAGTTGGCCAGAATCTCTGCACCTCACTAGGAGGTCATGGGTTCAATTCTGGCCACAAGCAAGACTCCCTTCTTCTCCAGGCTATGGCCTCCGACATACCAAATATATATATAAAGAACACAATATAGGTGGTGTTTAGGATGCAAATTTTTGGCTAAAATAGCCAATAAAAACAAAAAAAAAATGCTAAAATAGCCTATAAGACAAAAAAGAAAAAAGAAAAAAAGAAGCCAACTATCATCCCAAACACAACTTTTTTCCACAAACTAAAATAGGCAAATAGCCAAAAAGCCAACTTTTTTCGTCTCATCCCAAACAAGTATAACATAATGTGAGTCCTTGAAAGTGTTAACATGTCAATCATGTTTACTCAACTAAATCTTTGCAGAAATTCCTTATATGCAGAAACTAAATGAACAAAATCGACTAAACTTACCTGTAGGTTGCATTACCAGTTCCAAATGAAACCAGGTCCCCATCCTTTAGAGTTGCTTCTTTATTTGGGAACTCATGAACTTTCTCTTTTGCCCCTAGGTTCTTGCTAATAAAAGTTCCATACTTTGAACAATCTCTTATTCGAACATTGGAGGATATATTAGAAGATTTGTTTTGTAAATGCTCCAAGGAAGACATCACATCAACCACTATTTCCGCATGGATTCGAGAAACTCCTTTGTCTTTATTAACTATTACGTCACATCCTAGAAAGGAAAAATAGAAGTTTAACTGTCACAACATCATGAATTGCCTAAACGTAATCTAATAAACAATTATAATTGTTATCAAAATTAGGCTTCAAATATTTAAAAAATAAAGAAAGAAAAGAAAAGAAAAAGACTAGCTCTAGGTCAAAAATAGGTGGGATAAGGTGATTGTCCCAGTTCTTTATACCCCAATGTAAGCCCGGATATTAGATATAGCCTATGCCAGTAATTGTTCCCTCAATTAGAAAGAAAGCATGACACCCATCTTGGGGCACAAAAAAAGGTCATCAGGGTCGTGTGTTGTAAGCAGACCCAACCTAAACCTATAGATTACGCAAAACAGCTGCTTTTAATCAAACAAGATAGAACATTCTTCAAACATATATGTGTGTATACATATTAGGTTATAGAGAGACATTAATTGACAAGTTAATATGAACTCCTAATTAACCCAATAACAATGAACACGAAAAAAATTTAGTAAGGGGATGCAGGTAAATCAAAAAGCTGACATTGGGATTTACACTCTACTTTTAATGTCTCCATATTGTAACTCCAGATAGATACCAAACCTTCAAACTAAAATCAAAAAGGGAAGTCGATAAGTGAATGTAGCCTTCATCAGTTTCACTCCGTAGATCAAGACCATAATAAACAAACCAAATAATCTATACTTGTACTTTTTTCATTGTCTTGTTTATTTCTTTTCCACTTCAAATTTTCATAAAACCACAAAATTTCTATAGCTTTGGCTAAATTTTAGGTTATTTACATAGAGGCCCCCTAACTATTGTCAAATATCACTTTGACATCCTAAACTAAAAATAATACAATTAGGCCCCCTTAACTATCAAAATGCATCACATACACCCCCATTGTCCTTCAGCCCTAAGTAAATCGTGAGATTGACGGTCACGCACCATGATTTAGTTATTTTATGACTAAATTACGTACGTGGAAACCCTCTGAGTTATGGAAATCACTTTATCTCCCTAAACTATAAAAATGTACAATGGGGCCCTTCAACTATCAAAATGCCACACTCCTTGATGCTGTTAACGGAAACGATAAAATGACCAAATTGTCCCATCTTTCCTATATCTCACACACGCATTCACTCTTTGAAGTCCATTAGAAACCATCACAATTTATTTCTATTTTATTTTATTTTTTAAAGGATTTTTTTTATTATTTTTTTATTTTTTAAAAGGGTGGGGAGGTGAGGGGATAGAGTTAGGGTTTCTAATGGATTTTTTTTTAAATTTTGTAATGATTTATGATGGACTTCAAAAGGAAAACATGTGCGTGACTATAGAAAGAGGGGGTAATTTGGTCATTTAATTGTTTCTGTTAATGACATTAGGATATGTAATGACATTTTAATAGTTGAAGGGGTTAATTGTACAATTTTATAGTTCATGAGGGTAAAGTGATACTTCATGATAGTTTAGGGAGGTATAGTGATACTTCATGATAGTTCATGGGGTAAAATGATACAGGGGAGGGTAGGACATTTGGGTAATTAAATGTCTTCCCTTAATACCGTTAAGGGATTTAACGATATCAACAGTTTAAGGGGTCAGTTTGTATTTTTTTTAGTTCAGAGGTCAAAACTTGGAACTAGATAAATGATATATTTTCCTAATGGATATATCAGTTTGTACATGTTCTGTTAACCCTAAATTTTATTTTCCTAATAATAGATAAATGATAATAGTGCAAATTCTTCCATAATATCTATATTTTTTAGAAGTTAACATCAAATTTTGCTAATTCAAATTTTCAATTGTTATTTTGGAACGATTCAAAACAAATATTAAGGGTTGGGGATGTGCTATATAAGTGCATTTTTTGACTTTTTGGCTAAAAAAGTAGAAGAAAAAAAGATGTATATTTAGAATAACTTTTTGACTTTTTACGAAAAGATATGTAATAAAATATTGTAGTAAAATCAAAATGATCATTCTACCCTTGCTGACTTTTTGACTTTTAGGTAGTTGAATTCAAAAGGCAAAATAAAAGCTTCTCCCAAATAGTATGGACTTTTGGACTTTTTTAGTAACTTTTTGACTTTTTGATTTTTGTAGATTATTAGGGTTGCTTAAAATGTGCTATATAAGTGCACTTTTTGGCTTTTTGGCTAAAAAAGTAGAGAAAACAAAATATGTATGTTTGGAATAACTTTTTGACTTTTTACAAAAAGATGTGTAATAAAATATTGTAGTAAAATCAAAATGACCATTCTACCCTTGTTGACTTTTTTACTTTTGGGTAATTGAATTTAAAGGGCAAAATAATAATTTTTCCCTCTAGGCTTCCCCCCGCAAGCTTCCGCCAAATAATATGGATTTTTTGGCTTTTTTAGTAACTTTTTGACTTTTGTAGGTTATCCCAAACCAACCCACGGCAACTCCTAATCATGATCCACCATTTGAACATATTGGCAGGTCAATCATCATTGGTCGTGGCAAAGACATAATCTAGTAAAATATTTCTAAGAACATAGATATCACTATATGAATCTACTACAAGAAAGCACAAAGCAGCAAGCAACTTGATGCACCTCTAGGCTTAACTGGCATGGAATTTGGCTCCACGTATTTCATGATAAAATCAAGCCCTTCTAACATAATGGAAAAGCAGCATCCTGTTCATTGTTAGTTTATTTAAAAACTAATGTCAACTACTTCTAAAACATTCAGCACCCCTTTAAGTATTTATTGTAATGGATATTTCCACCATTTTAAAAGAATAACAAAGCAGATGGCACATCTCACCATATCAATACAAATTGTGTCTAGCCATGATCAAACATTATCACATCAAGCTCAATTGGGGATAACTAATCCTATAGTAGGACCCATCAGTTGGTGCTACCAAAATTTTCCTTATACATACTGAAACGGCATGAGTTTATTGAACTTAATGTCCTGTACAGGGTGTTTTATATGTGATTCAAGCCTACAATCCCTCATTAACTATTTACAGGTTACCCCTTGTCTCCATCAGCATATGACAAGAGGTTAGCTCAAAGTTTAAGCCAATCAAATTCATCTGTTCATATGCATAATGACATTTAATATTCTGAAATATGTGTCTACGCTTTTGTTTTCTTCAAGCATATATTTTCATTACCTTCAGATTTGATATAGCTCAGTCTATGCCTATAATGTTTTAATGATCTGTTGGGCTATATATACATGTCAGAGTGAGAAAACTCACATCTAAACAATTTTGGGGCAATCTGGAAGGAAGAATAATAAAATTTTAATTGCTTTTAGAGCACTTCAAGAGGGAATCAGACTTTATTCTATCCCATGCCTCTACATCAAGATGATCATTTTCTTTTTGCCTAATTTCTCACAAACTGCACATCTACTGGTCTCCTGAAATTTGTTGGTATAACTTCCAGCCCATACAGCTTAGTATATTATTCAAGCACATAATAAAATTTTAATTGCTTTTAGAGAACTTCAAAAGGAATCAGACTTTATTCTATCCCATGCTCTACATCAAGATGACCATTTTCTTTTTGCCTAATTTCTTACAAACTGCACATCCACTGGTCTCCCAAAATTTGTTAGTATAACTTCCGGCCCATACAGCTTAGTATACAAGTCATGCACATCTTTTTGGTTTAACCAACCTTATGGCTGCTTTGCAGATATTGTTATGTGCACTTTTATTGATAGTTCATCACAGGAACAAGATTAATATATCAAACAAGCCTGAAATGACACAGCATATCATTAAATAAATGTGTTGTTTATTAAAAAAACAAGAGTGAAAAAAGGAATAATTGCAACAACAGATCAACAAACTAGCCACATCTTGTACTAGGTATATGACTGCAATACAAATTCTGTGGCAGAGATGGCGCAGTTTTTGGTCCACTAGGCCCATCCCAAATATTACCCTAAGGAAGAAGAAGAAGGAAACATCTAAGAACTCTCAATCAGCATGGAAAAAAATTAGACAGCATGACAGCCTATCATACGCCTGTGAGAATATAATCATATATATTAGGCATGTTTGTGTGTATATTCGGAATGGTTGTTCTTAGACATGATTGTGTATATATTAGGCATGATTTATTGTATTTCCTTTTTTGGTTTGGGCGTTAGGCTTATATAAACTAAGGTCTTGATGTAATTAAAACACGATTGAATATACAAGTTAGTATTCAGAATCCTTACTTGGTATCAGAGCCGTCTATAAGCCCAAACCCTAGAAGGTGTCTGTGAGTCGTGACTCCCTCTGCGTGCATTCGGTTCGATCGAAGTCACGAGTGCCTCTTGCATCTTCTCAGGCTCCTCATCTGCTTCGTGCTTCGTGTCTCCTCCGGAATCATGACCACGATTTCTGGTCTTTCTCTCTTCAGCATCGTGACTTCCCCTTTTCTCTGGTTCGAAGAATCTCTACACAATTCTTGCAATCTAGCTAGTTCGAAATCGCAAACCCTAGCTTCGTGATTGCCTCTAGTTCGCAAAGCTCTAAGGCGTGACATCTCTTCTTCCCTCTTTGACTCGAGATTCCTTGGTCTTCTCTGGTTGGTGACGTTTCTCTCTTTGAATTTATATTCTGACTTTGGTTTATTATATATTTTGTTTGAAGCTCATCTCTCTAGATATTAAAGGTTGCTCTGGATATTAAATTTTAGTCACAGAAATTGTTAAATATCCTGTTTTAACCCCAGATATCACAATGTCGGACACTAAAATTCAAGCCATTAAATGCAAACTCACTGGTGATAATTATGCCTATTGGGCTAGTATTATAAAGAATTTTCTCCTTGGTCACAAAAAATAGAGTTATGTTTTTAGTTCTGTTCCTCGTCCATCGGACCCGAAAAATGAAGGATATCTGACTTTCTGTGATACTTGGGATTGTGATAATGCCTAAGTTTTGACTTGGTTTCATAATTCCGTGGATGGCCATATTGGAATAATGTTTTCCAAATACAGTACTGCTAGGGAGGTATGGGACTATTTATTGGGTGTGTATCAGCCGTCTAACTTTGCCAAGCGGTATGAGTTGGAAACAGCTATTCAGAGTGCTCGTCAGCGGAATCAATAAATTCAGGACTTCTATAATGAGATGACAGGTTTCTGGGATCAATTGGCTCTCACGGAACCATTTAGTCTCAAGGCACTAGACGCTTATGTTGAGTTTCGGGAGCAAGGTCATTTAGTACAGTTCTTAACAGCTCTCTTCCTTCAGTATGAGGCTATCCGTGGTGGCATTCTTCATCGGTCTCCTCTTTCCAATGTGGATGCTATTGTTCGTGAGCTCCTCTCCAAGGAAACCCATCTTAAGACGGCTAGTCAGACTCTGTCTCCATCTGTTTTCTTGGCTCTTACTCAACCTCCTTTGTTGTCAACCCTACCACCTCATCAGCTTCAGGCACATGCGAAGCCCAAGAAGGGGTCATTAGCCTCTGATGAGTGTGCTTTTTGCCATCAGAAAGGCCATTGGAAGTACAACTATCCTAAGAAAGAATGTCAGTCTGCTCAATTTTCTCAGCCGCCTTAGACACAGTTTCGACCTCCTATTGCTTATACTGCCTTTGCTCCAGCTTTTGATCCTGACTTGGCTTCCTTGCGTGCCCAAATGGCTCAGCTTCAGCATCTCCTGTCCACCTTCCAGCCATCCTCATCTGCCTCTGCTCTCACCTCTCTTCATTCGGGTTTGTTTGGGTCCGTTTCAGGTATCTCCTCGTCTGTCTGGCTTTTTGACTCTGGTGCCTCTCATCATATAACTCCTCACCTTTCCGTAGTTCAAAACTATCCCCCTTCCCTCTCCTATTACTGTCGATACTATTAATGGGTTTGGTATGCTTGTTCTATCTGTTGGGTCTGTCTTACCCTCTGCCATGTCTGTTGTTAGTATTCTCTCTATTCTTTATGTTCCTTAGCTCTCTGTCAGTTTATTATCTATTAGTTAATTTGATACTTCTGGTTTTAATATTATTTTTTCCTCTTTTGTCTGTTGTGTACAGGATCGAGTGTCCAAGAAGCAGATTGGAACCGGCCGTAGAGTTGGAGATCTCTATGTGGTAGAAAGCTTGCATCTTCCTCTATCCACCTCTCCGGTTACTTTTTCGTCATTTCAGGTAGATTCTCAATCGAGTCAGTTTTACTTATGGCATTCTCGCCTAGGTCATTTGTCTATTGACCGCATACGGTCTTTAGCTCAGTCAGGATTATTGGGAAAAGTTTCTCCTAATCAAATTGATGAATGTCGGGGGGTGTAAACTTGCCAAAATGTCAGCTTTACCTTTTAATAAAAGTACTTCAGTTTATGTTTCTCTTTTTTCTCTTGTGCATACTGATATCTGGAGACCCTCTCCTGTTCTCACTAAAAGGGGTTCCGCATACTATGTGCCCTTTGTCGATGATTGCACCCGTTATAAATCCGACTTCTACCAAATATATCATACATTTCAGTCTATGATCACTACACAATTTGGGACCACCATTAAATTGTTACGATCTGACTTGGGTGGGGAATATTTTAAAACTGAGTTTTGTGAGTATTTGACCAATTTGAGTATCATTCACCAAACTTCTTGTCCTGATACACCTGCCCAAAATGGTCGAGCCGAGCGTAAACACCGCCATCTCCTTGAGACAGCTAGGTCTCTTCTTCTCTCTACCTCAGTTCCAGCTTTGTTTTGGGACGAAGAAGTTCTTACTGCTGCTTTTCTTTTTAACCGCATGCCTACTCCCCTTCTTTCTGGTCGGTCTCCTTATAAGGCTCTGTTCTCTCAATTTCCCAATTACTCCATTCTTTGTGTGTTTGGGTCTGCTTGTTTTGTCCTTCTTCCCCATAAAGATTGGACCAAACTTAGTGCCCGGTCTGTCCTATATGTCTTTTTGCGTTAGTGTCTTACTCCAAAAGGCTATCGACCTTATTTCCCGTCATCTTTATGTCGTGTTTCTTTTCTCGAACGTCTATCTTACTTTCAACTTCCTCCTATCACTGCTTCAGTTTCCAAAGAGGATTTGATTTACATTGATCCATTTCCTTCTGAGGTCCCTCCTGATGAATACATCTCTTATGTTCCCCATGACCTTCCTCCATTTTCTCCTCTTTCTCCCTAGCCTGCTCCTTCTCCTCCTCCGTTGTTAGTTTATTTTCGTCGCCAGGCTCTCTCCCCACTAGTTGTCTCTACTCCTACTGCTGATCCTCCTCCTCTACTGATGACTCTGATCCTTCTGCACACCGATATCCTACTCGAGCGCGTCATCCTCTAAACAGGTTGAGTTAGTCTAATATATGTTTTTCTGCTTCCTATCGTACTTTTTTGTCTGTTATTCATTCTTTTTCAGAACTTCAATCTTACAAGGAGGCTTGTCAAGATCCCTATTGGATTCAAACTATAGAGGATGAGTTGTCTACTTTACAAAAAACTAGTACTTGGGAATTAGTTCCTTTGTCTACTAGTAAGAATCTGGTTGGTTGCAAATGGGTCTACAAAGTCAAAACTCATTCTGATGGTTCTCTTGAGCACTACAAAGCTCGCTTGGTTGCCAAAGGTTTCTCACATGAGTATGGTATTAATTATGAGGAGACCATTGCCCCTATTCCCAAGATGACTACCGTTCGTACTTTGATCTCTGTTACTGCTGTTTGCCATTGGCCTCTTTATCAAATGGATGTTAAGAATGCTTTTCTTAATGATTATCTCACTAAGGAGGTTTACATGCGTCATTCCCTGGTCTTTTACATTCCTCTGGACTTGTTTGTCATCTTCGGTGTGCTCTGTATGGTTTGAAACAATCTCCTCGTGCTTAGTATGATCGCTTTAAGACAACTGTTACTGAGCTTGGGTTTCATCCGTGTGACCAAGACTCTGTCTTGTTTCTCCTTCACACCTCTGCTGGTTTTGTTACCTTATTACTGTATGTGGATGATATGATCATTACTGGCTCTGACACTTCTGCTATCTCTGAGGTCAGGCAGTATCTCTTTCGCACTTTCGAAATGAAGGATCTGGGACCATTGCGGTATTTTCTTGATATTGAGGTAGCTTATTCTCCCAATGGCTACTTTTTGTCTCAGGCCAAGTATGCCAAAGAGGTTATTCACCGTGCCAATCTTACTGACACTAAGCTTTCTGATACCCCCATTGAGCTTAATGTGAAGCTTAACACTACTGATAGTGTCTCACTGACTGATCTTACATTGTATCACGAGCTTGTGGGCTGTTTAGTCTATCTGACAGTTACTCGCCCTGATCTTGCCTATGTTGTTCATGTGGTTAGCCAGTTCGTTTCCGCTCCTCGCTCTTCGCATTGGGTTGCTTTGGTTTGGATTCTTCGCTATCTCTGCGGTACTATCGTCCAAGGCTTCTATTTCTTCCTTGGATTTGGAGGCTTATGCTGATGCTGATTGGGCTGGTGATGTTACTGATTGTAAGTTCATTTCTAGTTTCTATCTATTTCTTGGTGATTCCTTGATTTCTTAGAAAAGCAAGAAACAAATTGTTGTTGCCCGTTCTACTGCCGAAGCTGAGTATCGTGCTATGGCTCATGGTACTACTGAGGTTGTTTGGCTTCGTTGTCTCCTCTCTGACTTGAGCATTCCTCAGTCTTCTACGACCTCTCTCTGCTATGACAACCGAAGTGCTATTCAGATTGCCCATAACACTGTTCTCCATGAACGCACAAAGCATATTGAGATTGATTGTCACTTAATCCGTCAACACCTACAGTCTGATTCTATCTCACTTCCTTTTGTCCCTTTGGCTCTCCAGCTTTTTGACTTCTTCGCCAAAACTCACACCATTGCTCGTTTTCGATTTCTTCTTGACAAACTCTCCGTGTTTTTGACTAAAACACCTTGAGTTTAAGCGGGGGTGTGAGAATATAATCGTATATATTAGGCATGTTTGTGTATATATTCAGCATGGTTGTTCTTAGGCATGATTGTGTATATATTAGGCATGAATTATTGTATTTCCTTTTTTGGTTTAGGCGTTAGGTTTATATAAACTGAGGCCTTGATGTAATTAAAACATGATTGAATATACAAGTTAGTATTCAGAATCCTTACAACGCCATGGAATGTCACATCTTTATAGTTTCTCTTCTTTTAAGTCATTTAGGAACCAGGAAATATTTAAGAATATTCTAGTTTTCAAGGCAATACTCTAAATAGTTCCAAGTAGCAATTGCAATTGCAATTAGTATTCTGGCAAATTTTATTCCTTCAAAAAAAAGCTTTTGCAGCCTTTAACATTTAAGAAATTCATTGGTGTTTTGCTGACCCTAGTTGCTTGAATCTCTTTTATTGGTTGGTCTTCGTCTATTCTTTAATGCTCTTAGTGTGACAATTATTAGTCAATTTGAACAGTAAAATTTCAGATTTAAGTGTCCTTTCAAAGTCTTGGCACCAACTATATAATCAGTGGGCAAGTAAATTCAATAAAAATTAATGAAAAAAGAGTCATCATAACTTGCCCAAAATCACGCATACCTTTTCGACCCACTTTGTATGTCCCTTTACTGAATATATAGTACCTATCTTCACCTGTCACGAGAATAAACAGTACAACCAGCATAAGTAAGTCCTTCACAGGATTGCAATGTAAAATACACTACATTCTCATCACAGAAACATAAAAATTAAAACACAATACACAAACAGGGGCAGATCACAGAATTAGATGGGGGGAAAAAATGGAAGTCCTAACTATTTTCTTCTAAATGAAGGTATCAAAAACCTGAAACACTGATGTTTACAACAATGAAAACCACAGAGTGCCATTAAACAAATAAAATAGTCCATATTAACCAACCACACGAGCAACAAGGGAGAAGAAGGTATGATTGCATTCTCCAAATAGATTTAGAACAAGAAAAAAATCATAACCACATCAACCAACCAACTGCATATACACATTGGACTTGTTAAGTTTTGCTCAATTTAAATTCACCCCAACCACATTTATACTTGTTTTTTAAGCTGGAATCAAATATTTCAATTCAGGTATCACACATTTAAATAACAACAATATTAATATACGGCATAACTTTTACTTTGTAATATTCAAAAACCTTATTTAATATATGCAAGGTGCCTTGTGAAAAATAGTAAAGCTTAATTTTTCAAAAAAGGAGAAGGAGGGCCTATATTAAAGGGACTTGCAGGCAAATAATAATAGTACCGATAGGCCTTCTAAAATCTTTGGAGGTGTCACATCCCATACAACATCGGATAGGTAGGAAAAGGTCTTGGAGTATATAAGTGAGTTCATGTCTCTTCTAAGTAACAAAGCATTTTTCCTTGAGGGCCTAACCCAAAGCAAACAATATCAATATCAATATCATTGCTACTTGGGATGGGAACGTTGCAATTGGTATCAACGAGGGAGCTAGCTTACAACATGTGGGTCGTGCAAATGGAAGTCACCTCTAGAGTTTGTACAAGCCACCCCTTGGATCCCACAAGCAGGGGCAAAGTGTTGTGCAAAGCTAAGTTCTACATCACATACCATATGAGGGACTTAGCTTATGACGTGTGGGTCATGCATAAAGGAGCCACCCCTAGAGTTTATAAAAGCCACCTCTTGGATCCCACAAGCAAGAGCAAGTGTTGTGCAAAGCTAAGTACTACATCACACACCACATGAGGACGGGCAATCCTTAGGGAGGAGGATGTTGTTAAATTACCAATTATCCCAAAACCTTAAACCATTAGAAAATGAGCCCCACAATATATCACGTGCAATCACGTCTTGCACATGGATAGACACATATAAGTAAATAGAAGGAAAAGCAAACAACCAAATAGTGAAGAAGAAACCAAACGAGGACAGAATATTAAATACCAACAGAGAGATTTGAACCCAAGACCTCTCCGAACCTGAGCTCTGATACCATATTAAACAAAAGTAAGTATCGTATTACAAAATTATTAATCAGAGAAATACAAAACAAAACCTAATAAAACAGTCAAAGACTGAACTACCCTTGCTAAATAATGACTAATGCACTGCTTAACAGATGTCGCATCCCATCCCTAATCGGATAAATAGAAAAAAGTTCATGGACTATATAAGTGAGTTTACACCCCTTCCAAGTAACGGAGTGTTTTACAGCCATAAGGGCCCAACCCAAAAGGGACAATATCGTTGTTGCTCAAAATGGGGACATTACATGAGGGGCCATTCCCCCACCAGAAAATAAAAATTGCCATTGAATAAGCACAAATACTTCTAATAAGGTGTCACCATGTCATGAAGGTGTCAGACACCAACACTCGTCATCAGAGACTCCTTGACATATGCTGCACAATCATCTAAACGTGCCTTATTATTTTTAAATTTTCTTCGACCCATTAAATACATATGAAACACATAGCAAGTTTGAAGAAAAGAACTTAAGAACCAATGATAAATAAAAATAATATGGATTAAATTATACCTATTAATCTCTCTTCTTTTAAACTTTTTAATATTTAATATTAGGAATTCTAAAACCAAAACTTCCAATTTGTTCATGAATAGTACTTTCTAAAATAGATATTAGTACTTTGTGTTCATAACTTTTTTTCCAATACAAATAATGTGGAAAATAATTTCTTTCTATTTTGATATAATAAATTATATATGTATTTTTAATGTAAAAAAATGAAGACATTATTTTCTTGTATGCATATAAAAATATATACTTATTTGTTGTTAGGTCTTGTGTCATGTACTGATTATGTAAATTTTATTTATTTATTTATTTTATTTTTTTTGTAATATACTTATTATATCCGCATCTTCTTGTATTTGTGTCCTGTGTTTGTATTCATGATTCTTAGTCCTTAATGTGTGTATTTTAGTCACACATTCACTCTAAATATATCGAATGAACAAGATACATTATGCCATATTCCATGATTAACCAATACAAAATGTAATTCTATGGCTCCGTTTGGCAAGAGCTTTTTTGGCTATTTTAGCCATAAAAGACAAAATAGGCTATTTTAGCCACAACAAACAAAACATCACATCCAACCCATAATTATTACACTCTTCTCTCACAAAAAAAGCCAAAAAAACCCTTCTCAAACCAAACCTTTTAGCCCAGGCTAAAATAGCCAAAAAAGCCAAAAAGTCAAAAAGCCAACCCACTTCTCAAACGGAGGCATAATATCAAATGAACAACTACACAAGAACCACTAAGCCTACCTAACAAGCCAAGTAGGCTCCATGTCATCACTACATCATCTATTACATGTGACTCAGTACCATATGCGCTGTCTTCGAGCCAGCGCACGAAATGCCTTAGCTTCAAGCCAAGGCATCTCGAGGCAATCTCCAAATAGCCTCCTAGGCACACTCGACCTCCTTCCTTTGGTCAAGCAAACTTCTCCCTGGAGCATAACCTCCCTCCTTCGGTTAAGCAAACTTCCCCCGCCCTAGAAGCATATGCACTCTATCCTCTCTCGACTCAGCCAGGCAAATCTCCACCAAAGTGCATTCCTCCTATGACTTACAAAAGGATTTTTCAGTGGCACCCTAAAGCTCCTATATTAATTTAAGTCAAAAGTAGGGCTCAAAAACCTTTGTAGTATGTGTAAATGAGTGGATTCTCACATTGGATAAAAAATAGACCTTAATATACATTGGATGGGCTCACCATTTACACACTTAAGTTTTTAGCTGGGTGGACACTGTTGTTTTGCAAGTGAACTCTACAGTTACTTAACGGCTTGGGTCATGTTGTTACGCATTCATAGGCCTCTTAGATTCACTAACAAATGGTATCAAAGTCAATGGCCTATACACAAACTCTCCTAGCCTCAAGGCACCGATGTGTGCTTGCACGAACACCCGACAAAGTAGAAAAATTCGTGGGTAACTCTCAATGAAACAAGGAAAATACAAGTGCACACAGTTGATGGTCCCCCAACATGGTGGTTGTCATTAGAGTGTTCTCGATGCAATAATCTAGCCTAGGTTGGATATGGTGTTGGAGAATTATAGATTACAATTAAGAGGGATTGTACACGATCTATGATGAACCTACAAGCGATAGAAAGATGATAACAAGGAGATTGTTGGAGCATGTGTGAATGGGTGTAGTCCCACATTAAATAAAAAGTAAAAGGAGTGGATCTTATCCGTTAGATGGACTCACCACTTACAAGCTTTAAGCGTTTAGGTGGGTTGGAGTTTTAAACAATGTGGGTTACGTTGTGGTGTTGTGCAGGTGGACTCCACAATTACTCCCCAACAAATTGGACCTTGCTGTTGTAATGAGTTCGTTAGCCTCTTGGATTCACCAACAAGCCCCTCATGAGGTGACTAGGCTATGGAGGGATCCTTCTAGGAAGTATGGCACTCCTTAAGATGGTGCTAGGTCACCCAAGGTGGTTGGGTGAGAGTAGAAGCATCCTTAAAGCTGAAGAGAAACAGAGGTCTGAAAATAGGAAAACAAGGCCTCTAGGGAGGGTTGGACCACAAAGGAACTCACCTAATCATGTGCTAAAGTTAGGACAAAAGGACAAGTGACCCTTTTTCTAGGCCCGATAATGCCCTGGAAGTAATGACCATTGCTAAAATGATGTTGATATCCTCTGAGGCTGTTGGCACCATAAATTTGCAATTATTATTATTATTTATTATTTATATAATTGCAGAACATATAACATCTTCCTACTCATTTGGAGGTTATGAGAAGTTATATAATGTGAAAAGATGATGGCCAATAAAGTGGAAAACATGGAGCATGTATTAGAGGTTAAAAGAAGTTATGAAGACTTGGAGGGATATGTGGCATTGTGGGAATAAATGTGGAAGAGTGGGTAGTTTTAGGTGGTTATTGGGTAGTTATTACGGGAAGTTTTTTCCTACAAATATTTGCCTATAAATAGCCATTCATGGCTACATTGTAAAAGATCTAGAATTCAAATCAAAGATAATTGATTTCAATATTTCTTGTCATTTTCCTTATCTTAGGAGTAGTTTAATATAGATTTATATTTCGAAGTATTTATTTTCAGTATTTTCTTTTCGAAGCATTTTATACACTTTATTTTCGAAGCATAGGAGTAGAGGTAAGTAATTATTACTTTGATTGTTCACTCAATTGTCTTTCTCCGTCTCCCTCATTCTTCTTTTAATTTTTCTTTTTTCTACAATTGGCAATTTTGAAGTCCTCTTTGTTGAGGCAAAAGAACCATCAACGCAATTGCTTGATAATTGGCTTGAATTTAATCTATAAGGGTTTTTCAATCCTTGCTGGCACGCTCACATTTATGATATTTTCCTTCGTAAGAAAAATAAGCCAACAGAGGCACTCAAAGATTACAGGAGTAATTGAAGTGTGCTACTCTCAAGTACGAGAAGATACAGAGCGTGTCTTGTGTCTCTATGTTAGTATGAAAAAGTTTTATTTATTTATTTTTAAATAGGAAAAGCATTATGGTCATTAAGATAACATCAAATCATCAGAGGTGGCTGGATGAGAACAAAGGTCATCGTAGAGCAGGAAGAAGAGAAAGGTAGAGAGCAATGGAAGTCTAAAGATGAACCAGAATCTCCAATGATGAAAATGACACCTTCACCTTCTCTTGCATGAATGGTAGAAGAGGCTTTATTTTTCAGAAGGGGCGGGCCATGGAGACCAACTCACCTGGTTGAATGCCCAAGTTGGGACAAAAAAACAAGTGGCTCTCTCTACTTGGCCCAACCATTTGGAGTTAACAACCACTAGTACAGTGGCGTCAATATACTGTAAGGCACTCAAAGATTGCATAAGTAACAGAGGTATGCTCCTCGGGTACAGGGTTGGTCTCAAGAATATGTTCTTGTGGAGAATTCTCTCTCTAAGACATGTTAAGGAGAAAGTTACTCAACAGAGGATACAGCGACTCACCTTAGCGAGCATTCAACCCTAACTACCAAGCCACAAGGCCCAACTTATCCCACGCAAAGGTCATGGGGTTGGCCATAGCACCAATCCAAGGAGGTTCCCAGGCCCTAGTCTCAAACCTAGGCTAACATAGGAACTATAAGGTCCTATTGGAGAATCCTTCGATAACATATGAACTTTATGGTCATGATGGCATTGTGAGGTGGTGGCTCCGCATATTACACAACTAAGATGTTGTTAAAATGCTAGTGAGTAAAACTGTACTACATGTTATAGCAGAAACTAAAATTACACACAAAGACGTGTGTATATATATAACACAGTTGAGAATTCTTGGGTGTCAGTGACAGAAACAGATGAATGATGAAATAGCACGAGAGAGAGAGTGAGAGAGAATTTTAAACCTGGAAGTGGGTCGTTAGGGAACAAACCCCAGACCATATTTCCGATCCTTTGTTGCTTTTTAACTTGCCTCTGTTCAAAAATCAACGCGTTTCAGTGCTGGAAATGATAGAGGAATTTATGAGCTTTCATGTGTTGCCTGTAGATTGTAGCGACGGCGATGAAGTGTGCAATTCCACCTGAAGCTTCAGGGACTGTTTGAGCAGAGAGGGAGGGCAATTAACGATGATGAGTATTTAGGATATAGGACCCAACAATCTATCTACATAATCTTCTTCTATTGCTCCGTCTGCTCTGCACCAGCATAGTGTTCTTGATCTTGATGTTTCCCTCTCTGTCTCTGGTTCTCTTCCCTATCTATGCTCCGTTTGGCCTATCATATGAAAGGGTAATTCTATTTACACAACACTCGTTTGCTCGGTGCCCCCCCGTTTCTTAATTTTTTTTATTAGAATTGTGTCCCTCAGTTAAATTATTTTTGGACGAATTATACTAATAGTGCTACAGTTTGGGATTTGTGTTATTTTAATTATTAATTTTTTAATTGTGACATATTTGATTTTAAATTTTAAATCTTCTTTTAAATAAGAACAATTGAAAATATCATTACTCAATTTGATAAAATATAAACTAATTTGATAAAAATAAATGTTAAAAGAATATTTTTAAATTTTTAAAAGTTATTTCTATCCACCAAAGATAAAATTATGTAAAATTAATATATATTTTACACATTTATTTATTTTTTTACCAAGTTAATTTTTATTATGTGTTTGGATGATGATCATGGATGGTTGTTAGGCTTTTAATATGTAATCGATATATTAAATATATAAACTATTTTTAGTTTTGAATTTTTTGATTTAATGAATAGGCTTAATAATGATATCAAAGTTGTCGCCATATTTGACTTTTGAAAAATGAATTTTTATTGATAAATTCCATTTAGAAGTGTTTTAACCCAAAAACTCTATATAGAAATTTATTAACCCATTTAGTCCCATGTATGTATAGTTTTATTCCATAAAGTCTTTTTTCTTGATTTACACTCTTTTTTTAAACTCTTATGCCCTTATATTTAATTTTGATACCCTTACAAATATTTTTTGAACGGTTAGCAATTTTACGATATAAATATTCATATTTTAATATTCACATTGGTAAGAATGTAAATTTGGCCCGTGGCCCGTGGGCGAGTCGCCCCCGGGGCGAGGTGGGCCCAGTCCGTTGACAATGTGAATATTCACATTGACATGTTAACATTCACATTGATAGAAGTGTAAAATTGGCCCGCAGCCCGTAAGCGACCCGAAACCCGTCCGTGGCCCATGGGCTGCCCGGGACAGGCCTGGCCCGGCCCGTTGACAATGTAAATATTCACATTAACATATTAACATTCACGTTGATAGGAGTGTAAAATTGACCCGTGGCCCGTAGGCAGCCCGAAACCCGCCTGCAGGCCCGGCCCGGCCCGTTTACAATGTAAATATTCACATTGACATGTTAACATTCATATTGATAGGAATGTAAAATTGGCTCGCGGCCCATGGGCTGCCCGAAGCCCGCCCGTTGCCCGGGGCGGGGCGGGACGCGCTGTAAATATTCATATTTTAACATTCACATTGGTAAGAATGTAAAATTGGTCCGTGGCCCGTGGGCGGTCCAAAGCTCGACTCCGAGCCAGGGCGGGCCCGGTCCGTTGACAATGTGAATATTCACATTAACATGTTAACATTCACATTAATAGAAGTGTAAAATTAGCCCGAGACCCGTGGGCTGCCCGGGGCGGGCCTGGCCCGGCCCGTTGACAATGTGAATATTCACATTCACATTGATAGGAGTGTAAAATTGACCCGCAGCCTGTAGGTGGCCCGAAACCCGCCCGCAGGCCCGGCTCGGCTCGGCCCGTTTACAATGTGAATATTTACATTGACATGTTAACATTCACATTGATATGAGTGTAAAATTGGCTCGCGGCCCGTGGGCGGCCTAAAACCCGCCTGCAGGCCCTGCCCGGCCCGTTTACAATGTGAATATTCACATTGACATGTTAACATTCACATTGATAGGAGTGTAAAATTAGCCCGAGGCCTGTGGGCGGCCCGAAGCCCGCTTGTTGCTTGGGGCGAGATAGGTTATAAATATTCATATTTTAACATTCACATTGGTAAGAATGTAAAATTGGCCTGTGGGCGGTCCGAAGATTCCCCCTGGACCGGGGCGGGCCCGATCTGTTAACAATATGAATATTCACATTGACATGTTAACATTCACATTGATAGAAGTGTAAAATTGGCCCGCGGCCCGTGGGCGGCCCGAAACCCGCCCGCGGCTCGTGGGCTGCCTAGGGCGGGCCCGGCCCAGCCCGTCGACAATGTGAATATTCACATTAGCATATTAACATTCACGTTGATAGGAGTGTAAAATTGACCAGCGGCCCGTAGGCAGCCCGAAACCCACCCGCGGGCCCGACCCGTTTACAATGTGAATATTCACATTGACATGTTAACATTAACATTGATAGGAGTATAAAATTGGCCAGCGGCCCGGAGTGGGTTCAACCTATTGGCAATGTGAATATTCACATTGACATGTTAATATTTACATTGATAGGAGTGTAAAATTGGCCCGCGGCCCGGGGCAAGCTCGTTTGGGCCCGAGCCCAGCCCGAGAACTTGGGCTAGGACCTTGGCCATCACTTTGAAACTCGGTCCGCATAAGGCCCATTTAAGGCTTGGCCCGAGGCCCGGTCCGCTAGAGGACCGGTGTCTTTTTTGTGGAAAATAATAAAATTTTGGGAGAAAAAATTAAAAAGAATTAAAAAAAATGGCGAGGCTCACCCAAGCCAGACCCAAGCCCAAGTCTAGGCCCAAGCCCCTTGGCTTGACCCACCGGGGCACCAAAAGCCTGAATACCTTTGTGCCAGGGCTAGGGCCTAGGCCTAATTTTTTGGCCTGTGGGCCGGTCTGGTCCGGCCCGAATTTTGGCAAGCACTGCGAGGCTTTACATGGGTTGGCCCCGGCCCGGGCTGGGCCAAGCCCCTACACATTGATGATATGAACATTCACATTGACGGTGTGAACATTTACATTGACAGTGTGAACATTCACATTGACGATGTGAACATTCGCATTAGGGGTATTTTGGTAATTATATCACCCATAGGATGTGAACATTCACATTAGAGGTATTTTGGTAATTATGTCACCCATAGGACTTATTGAAACATAAGAAAATAATGTGAACTAAATGGAACATAAGTAGATGAAAAGGGTATTTTGGTCTTCTTACCTCAAATAGGAACATTCACATTAGGAGTATTTTGGTAATTATGTCACCCATAGGACTTATTGAAACATAAGAAAATAATGTAGACTAAATGGAACATAGGTAGATGAAAAGGGTATTTTGGTCTTCTTACCTCAAATAGGACCTAATGGAATAGTCAAAAAAAATATATGGGTTGGATGGAATAAAACTCATAGAAAAAGAATTTATCAAAAAAGCTCACTTTGAAAAAATAGAAACTAATTTAATGAAAATAAAAACAACCACACATTACATGATCATCATCCAAACATATAACAAAAATTAATTTGGTAAAAAAAAATAAATGTGTTAAAGATTTATCAATTTTACATAACTTTATCATTAGTGGGTAGAAATAATTTTTAAAAATTTGAAAATATTTTTTAACATTTATTTTTGTCAAATTAATTTATATTTTATTAAATTGACGGTTTTACCCTTGAAATTGAGTATTGGTATATTCAATTGTCCTTATTTGGAACAAGATTCAAAATTCAGAGTCCAATGTGTCACAATTGAAAAGTCAGAAACCAAAATGACACAAGCTCTAAACTATAGGGATCTTTAGTGTAATTCGCCCATTATTTTTTTAGACAAATTTTAAAAGAGTTGAAAACGCAACTTTAGGAATTGCTCGACAAGGGTTTCATACAACTAAATACCTCACCATGAGGAGCTCTATTACTATTCGTAAAGAAAAAAGATGGTACAATGAGATTATGTTTCGATTATTGAAAATTGAACAAGGTTACAATCAAGAATTGGTACCCTTTGTCGCAAATTGATGACTTATTTGATCAACTTCAAAGCACTTAAGTATTTTCGAATATCGACTTGAGGTCTGGCTACCATCAAGTGAAGATCGAAGCCGAAAGCATTGAGAAGACTGTCTTCAGAACACGTTATGGACGCTACGAGTTTCTTGTCATGCTATTTGGCGTCACAAACGTTTCAGCGGCCTTTTGGACCTCATGAATCGAGTGTTCAAACCCTATATCTTGGAATGAACATGTCTAATTCAGTAATTGAAACAAGATTAATTATAAGGTGGTTGTCACACGATTAATTAAGCTCTAATCTTCCTGAACTTTGATTAATTATAAGGTTAAACTAAATATGAGCCATGTGTTATATGCATTGTATTGTTATTGTGAACAGATATGTATAGATATGGCATGAACTTGCTTGGTTCAACAATTGAAACAAGTTAGAATTGAATACTATGATAAGTAATTAGAGCCTAATTTATATTGGAATAATTAAGTTTAGTCTAGTTTAGATTAAATTAGGCTATAATGAGGATTAATTTAATTTGGATAAATTTGTTTTAAAATTTAGTTTAACCTCATATTAATCAAGGTTTAGAAAGATTAGAGCTTAATTACATTTCCTAAGCTATTCATCAAATATTAAGGGAAAAAATAAAGTGATTGTGGAGAGTGTTGGAGTCAAATTTGAGAGAATGAGAGAGAACCCTTGAGAGCTCACCTAAGAAGAAGAAAAGAAGAGGAAGAAAATAACCAAGCAATCTTCAACAATTTGAGCACCTAAAGTAGGAATTCTTTCCTTATTTCATGAATTTGAGATATTTCACTCATGATCCTTTAGAATTTGAGTTGAATTAAAGAGGTGATCTTGCATAATTATGAGTTTAGTGGTGTAAATTAATGTTAAGAACTCATATGACCAAATAAATAAGGAATTGACCTTATATCTCCACACGCATGGCATAATTTTCATGGAATTCATGATCCTCCAATTGTGTCCTTACTTTTTGCTTGAGTTTTCAAAATTTAGGAGGAAAACTCCATGAAATTCAAGGATTGGAGCTCAATTTGCATAGATTATGATTTTGTTTTTAAATTCAAGGGTTTGAACTTTTTACATGGAATTTGAGTTTCAATTTGAAGTTAAGGTTTTGTTTAAAGCTAGTTATGTTAAACTCAATATGTTCTTGAAAGGTTTTGGGGCTTGAATTGCATAAAAATGAAGTTGGAATTGCAAAATTGGAACTTCAAAATTGAAAAAAAAAATTCAAACTGGTTTTGCCCAGTTCTACACGTGCGGCCTGGGCTCCCACATGCACGGAAGAGCTCTCTTGTTCCAGCACAGCTACTG